TTTTTGACTGGCCTCGTAGAACTTGAGGTGCATGCTACCGCTATACACGGCACGTAGAAGCCACCACGGAGAGAACCCGGCAGAGGGGGGACCGGGGATGTGTCGTAGCCGTAGATACTGAAGAAGAATGAGTATGGCAGCGTACAAGAATGGACCCCACATAAAGAGGGTTGTGAAGGCAGCGCCATTCCCCATGGCGGCGTTGAGCTGATTGCGCTGGCTGCGTGAGCCTTTGCTGGGTAGCGGACAGTTGACGGGAAGGCTTTGGCTGACAGATGCCAAGAGCAGGGACGGCAGGTCAGTGGTTCTTCTTCCTACTCTGATACCGGGAAGTCCACGGATAGGAAGGTTTGGGGCGGAGACCGTTAAATGATCTGCGAAACTACAGTACTGTACTGCGTTGAGCTTGCGACAATTCGTGAGACGGACATTGATGCTGCTGTCGTGGAACATGAGACCACGGCCGTTTTTGGGTGGCCTTGCCCAAATCGACCCCTTCATGGTGCAACTGACGTTGGTTCCGCCAACTGAAACGCAACACTGTAAAATGTGGCTCTTTGCGCCGCGGGGATGGTTTGGACTTTTTTGAACCCGTAGCCTAGAAATCAAGCAGCAAAGCCAATGGCCTAGGAAGCTGAACCGGGCGGGTATGTAACAGTCCCGCACACCGCCGCTTCTGGATCTCGTTAAAAGCGGTACAAGTATAGAAAGACATCGCACCAGCGCCTGTCTGCCACCAGACCGACGTAGGAACACCTGTTTCCCGTCTCGCCGTAACAATGGGCTGTAATCCATCGAAGCCTCTCAACAGCCTACAAACAGACGTAGATCAGGGCCTGCCCGCGCACTATCCACTGGCCATAACTCGTCCGCCTCGATACTCGCGCAATGAGCATAACGAAGCGTGTCGCCTGCTACGGCCTTGGACTATGCGAGGCGCAAAGTCTCGCAGCTTCACGTTCGTTGTCCATGTCATCAACAACAGCTTGCTCGATAGGTCGCAAACGCTCGCCCAGGTCAGACTGCTGGGCCACTTGCAACAGCTCGCATTCATCCATAAGCTTCAGGTTCTTGTCAAATGTCTAGATTACTTGTCTGAAACCAATGATGACCCTTACGCGGCGAATGAGAAGCAATTGTATTTGGACATGCTAGCAGCCCGATCCAAAGCAGCAACGATCCGTTTGTGGGACGACAGACCGCCGACGGCTAGTACCCCGAGCCCCGAAGAGACCACAACTGCCGAGCATCGGATAAGCGCTGTCATTGACCAGGTCCGACGCAACGGGGATTTGGGCGACGTAGATGTCAAGAACCAAGTCGAACCAGAGCTCGTTGCCGCCCTTTCTCGTTTTGCCAAGAGCTGGAGCCTGGACGAGTTCATGGAAATGCACGAAAAGATCATGGGCGAGCCGCCGACGTTGAATGCGGCCGGCATATCGAAGCTGCAGGCCCAGTTCATCCTGCAAGCCCAAGTTGCCCGTGCAAGCCTGACAAGTGACAACGGAGCGACGCCGACCATCTCCGTCAGCTTTCTGCCGGACGACGTCCCCAACGTAACACTCATCAACATCAAAAAGCAGTGGAAGACACTGTTCGTTCCGCTGGCGAAACGCGTCAAAGAGTCCGAAAAGTCCCTGCGTCAAGATCTCTACACGATGCAGCTCATCTCTCTTGGGTCTGCCCACAGCAAGGGCGGACAGCAGTGGAAAGAATTGGACGAACTGGGGCAGGCCGGCATGGACATCATCGACCATCTCCACCTGGACGCAGGCCAGATCCTGCTCCGGGGCCCCGGTTCACTCCTCGGCCAGAAGATGCTGCTGGGGTCTGTAGGCCCCGCCGCCGACCGAGCGAAGGCAAAACGAGAGTCGGAGGCGGGTTTGTATGGCACAGGAGGTTCTCAAGTGACGCACGAGGACATGGATGCGTGCGTTTGCCAGACGCAGGGCATGGTTCCGGGAGTCGAGTATGTGCAACTGAGCCAGGATGCGTGACAACGGGTGACATTTGGCGCCTTTCAGTATCGCACAGTTTCCTCGGGTGGTGGTCAGTAATGCTCTTCAGATGGAAGGGACACGGCAACATACGCTGTATTTTCGTGACGATGGCTTGTGAGGAGCGAGATTTGAAGAGCCGAAAACCAACGCAAGAATTCTTTCTGCCAGCGTCCTCAAGGAGTCTGCATCATAGCAGCCTTTCAGAAAGCTACGCAGAGTTC